GCTTTGCCCAGAAGCTGTATGGAAGGAGAAAAACCTTTCCTCATGAAAGTTTTGTTTCACATGTATAGATCAAAGGGTATGCTCTGTTTTAAAGAACTGGCACCCTTCAACAAACAACTTAGCAGGAAATTCCAATGAACCCTCTAATTATGGGCCAAACCTGCATGGGTCTATTTAGAAAATTGACTCCCACTCAGTGCCTACCTCTTGCAATAGGATCATTCTTTTCATATTGAAACCCCACAAAGCCATTAAATAAAAGAAGGATGAAAAATACTTGCTAATAAAAAGGATCACAGTCAGAAAATAAACCACAGCAGAATTGCACCAAAGGCATCAAAATGGCTGCTTTAAAGCCATCCCTTCCTCACAGTGTTTTTATGAAAGTTTGGGCTTATTTATTACTGATATAAGAGGTGATATCTTAACATTTGTCACACCACGTTGTACCCTTGTTAACTGGCTTAGGACTAGGTGTAAGGAAATAGGGTTTCTTGAGGTTTTACATATCTATGGTGGCATCATCTGTGTCCGCATTCTCCACTTTTCCCACACTCTTGGGCCAGTGGATGCCTCCTCCTTCCTGGCATGTAGCATTTTAAGGGATTAGGAAGACAGGATCCCTTCTAGTGATGGGCAGCTGTGAGTGATGGCAGCAGAGAGGGCTTTGATGGGAAGCTGGGAAGGGAAGATGTGGGAGGAGGTCTTTGGTGCAGTGGAAATGGAAAAGCAAAGTCCTGGTGGCTACAGGCTAACTGGGAAAAATGAGAGAAGACCAAAACAAAAGAGACAAAAGGAACTGGGGCTCCAGCAGAGCAGGAGAGAGAACAACTGAGATGACAGGTTAAGTAAAAGATAGTAGGCATGACAGAAAATGAAGGAATTTAGAGATCAGGGCACTGGCTAGGAGCAAAAATAAGCACGCAGGTAGTGGGAAGAGGAGAGGGCTATATGAAAAACGAGGTTGAGATAGCAGGCAAATCCTGCAAGTGGAAGTATTTTAGAGGAGAAAGATCATGTCAAAATACAGCAGAACTATTTATTTTTGTGCCACTCTTACCTTACGCGCTCTCCGGGCAGCAATTTCGATGCTCGCTATGGCTGTGCTGGGGCGGCTCGCGCTGCCCGGTGCCCGCGCGGGGCTCCCCCGCTGCCTGGCAACACCCGCGCTGCGGCGAGGCGGCCCACGCAGACCGGGCCGCGGCCTCCACGCGCACACCGGGCCGTGGCCTCCACGCGCCGGCGCTGCCCCACGGCGCCCAACGTCCCTGCTCGCGAGGCCGGGAGGAGCAGGGAACCTCTCTGGCTGATACAGCTGTGATGGAAAAGCCTAAAAGTATTAATTGAGAAGACCACATGCTGAGGCAGGCGTGCAGGGAGCCTGGCAAATTATCTCTGGAAGCTGGGACAATTCCATTCACCCCTCCAACATTTGGATACTCTGTGATGATAATTAAAATATCAATATGGCTAATTATTTTAGTCCTTAAGTAAGTCTCTGTGCACTACATCTATAGCACAAGAAGCTACAGCTCTGTAGCTTCTTGGGCAGTTACTTCTAATTTGGAATAAAAGACACTGAAAAATCTTTGTTTTGTCCCAGAAAAAAAAATCTCATAAGTATTAATGCAGGATTGTCCTAGTAGAGCTGCATTTCTGTAACTATATCACAATAATTAATAAAATACTTCTGACAGGAACATTAGGTTGGTGTTTGGCAGTAGAGCTGACACGGCTGATCTCAAGATGCAGTGTCCTGTACGCTTCCAGCTCCCCCCTCACATCCGTCATCCCCCTCTCCACTGCGCTAGTCAAAAGCAGTTGTGTGGGTAAACAGCTGGATCAGGAACTGATCCATCTAAGAAACTGTGCAACAAGATATAGAGGTTATTTTGCAGTCAACACTACTGAAGCATGTACTGTCCCCAAGGGAGAAACAAAGACACATCAATCTGAAAACAGAACAGGCAGTGACAGAGCTACAAAAATTACAGTTCAAGAGAAGTTGCTTTGATGCTACAGGTGGGTGCATTTAGAAGACAGACATTTTTTTCTCTCCTAGTTAGGAGTGAAGCACATCCCAGGAGGTCAGGTTTGCGCTTGCAGACCACCAGGCCCACTGAGGGGGAGAGTGACGTTTGAATGGGCAGCTGAGACACAGAGAGGTACATCAGCATTTTGCTCTGGATGGCACCTCATTCTGGTGGTCATCTGGATGGAGCTTGAAGAGCATCATTGTATTTTTTTCTCCACCAGTCCAGCCTTCCCAGGCAGGAAAATTATGGGTTTTTTTCCCTACTTCTCTTGCACACTCTCATAAATCTTGAGCAAATTACTTAACTTCCTATTCTAATCAACAGTCTGTTGTTTGCAGCTGTGGGAAAGTGTGATAATTTAAAAAAAAGGGAAAAAATGAAAAAAAAACAGTTTCTAAAGGGCACCCTGGTGAATGCAGTTTAGACACACATCAGAAAAGGTCCACTTAGGTCCAAGGGTTTATTAGCTATGGCTCAGTGCTGGTTCTGCTAGACTTGGCACGTCCTTGCATAGCTTGAATGCCTCTGTGCTTTCAGGTGCTCAGGAATTGCTTGGTGTACACACCGTGCACATTCATGGAGCCAGCTTGGGTCTAATGTATTTGAGCCAATAAATCTCCCGAGAACTTGAGACACAAGGAAAATGCTCTGTAGTAAATGCTCTGTAAAGACACTCTGGCGATGCTCCAGAAAGTCATTCTGAAACCAGGACTAGCATGAAGCTGGATCCAGCCTACTGATCTAGTTGCGCACATCCAATGCATGTTTCCCTGTCCCTATCATCTGGCCCGGACTAGCAACCATATTCGTGGTTCAATGGCACTAAGTTGAAACGTCCTGGTGAAGCTGACCTCGCTCAATGTGGAGCTAGCCGTGGTGTTTCTGCACCCACAATAGCTGCATCGCCATGAACCGGTTAAACCCTGGCTGTGCAAGTGAGGCTACAGAACGTGTTGTAGCTGGTGTCACAAGATGGCGCTCTTTGATGCGGTCTTCTGAGCTCCTGTGGGGTTGCAAGTGCACGTTGAAGAAGATGGACAGGTTTGGGGTTTATGCAAGTCCTTTTGGGTTGAGATCCGTGGGGGGACAGGGGCTCTATGAGCACCTGGAGCCTCTGCTCTACTGCCTTGAGGTGGGTTTATTCCCTGGGGGCCACCACTGCCCGTCTAAGCTTGCAGTTCTGCCATCTTCTTTTAGTGCTTGTTTGTCCATTAAAGTGGAGCACACACATTTGGCAAGACACATAACTGATATATTTTTGTATTGAAAGACGCTGATGTTCAAGACCCCAAACACGTGCCAGCTCTTGATACAGCAATAGCATTTGAAGAACCAATAACTGTGCAACATCTGAGGATGTTAACAGCATCCATGAAGTCAGCCTGTGATCTGTAAGCAATTACAAACTCCTCCCAGACAAGGGGTAGAATCTCCAATCAGACTGAATAGAGAAATCCAATTTGTCTTTGTATTATAGTTGGAAACAAGGAGAAGTCAGTTCCCAAAACACTTTCTGATCACATTTGCCCTGGGAGCCATTAAAGGCTTGTCCATATTTCAATAGTGTTGCATGTCAAATTTAATTATACTAAAATGGCACTTAAAATCCCAAATAAAATGTTTGATTGGAAATTACATGCTGTCCTAAAGAGTGTTATCAAAACCACCTTGGAAACAATTTTGCTGAGCTGCCAAACAAATTAACTTGCGTCTCTTTTCCACAGCAAGTGCTGCCCCACCAGCTCCTTTCTCCGCTGCCACAGGCTGCACTGGAAGGTCTCTCCGTTTACCTGTTCTCCAGCCAGGTGGGTTTTTGACTCCATCAGTGAAGACCATCAGTGAAGACCTTCCCAGGCCCCTGTATTTCTCCCAGGTTCACTGCCATTTCTGCTGGGGTCTGTGATTCTATATGGAGATGCTGGACTTTGCTGACCTCTGAGGGGGAGGCAGATATATTTTTCCTCTCTCTGTCTTGACTTTGGTAAGCAGCTACGCCAAAGGATCCTGCCCAGAACAACTCTTGAGTGCTACAGAGAAAGGACCCAGCGGATGGCAAACATGCAATTTAAGGCAGTCTGCTCCTACTAAGATGTGTTTCAGAGTGTTGTTCCCAAATATGCTGACATTTCCCTGCTGTGGGTTTCTGTGGGGCAACGACTAAAATGCAAAGGCCAACCCCACTTGTAGTGTGCACAGAAGCAAGCCAGGCCAGGGCATGAGTAATGGCCCAGGAAACAGCTCCTTCTTGGGCCCGTTACTGGAATACAGGCTTGGACTGCTCAGCACAGAAGCCACCTTCTGTTATTGGCCTCTTTCTGGTATGAACATTCTGGTATGAACTTTCATAAATAAATAAATAGACATTTTAAAAAAGAACCACTGCACCCTTATCTATCATATCTTTTTGACAACGGGACAAAGGCTGAAACGATGATTAGCAACTAGGGCAAAAGTGTGCAACGAATTATGTATTCATCCAAACAGTTAGGTTCTTCTTCTGATATTAAAACTTAGAAAAACGCTAACTGCGAATCGTCATTTCCAGATGGGCCGTAGAAAAAAAACCTACGGGAAAACCCCCGGGAACAGCCTTCCCGCTCCCGTGCGCTGC